GGAAGCCCTTCCCCTCCCGCCGAGCCCGAGTCGGGGCCCTCCCAGCACTCGGCCTCAGGGCTTGCGTACCTCGAACCGCCTGCCCGTCCTCCCCCCGCCGAAGAACTTCGCTGAACAGTCAGGGCAAAAGCAACCGACAGCGCTTCCAGGACGACATACAGAAAGTGACCAGTACAGAGTTCGCCTGCGCTGTCAAGCCATTTTAAGGCAGGCTGCATCGCACAAGAGCCCCAAAAGTTTTTGGCAGGTTTTTTTTCCACCAAGAAGAAGCATTTTGAGTGGCAATTGCGGAACTGGCTTTATGCAGGTCTGTCCCCTCCACACCCCTGCTGCAGTAAGGAGAGGAGGAACGTGAGCAGGCCCTGCCCGGCGCAAGCTCCTCAGCGCTTTCAGCATCTCCGGTAACGCCTGTATTCCCCCCATACCCTCGAGTCAATGGAGCCAGAATGGGAAGGATCTCCTTGCTCACGCCAAAGAGCTGCTGTCCAACATGCAAACAATGGCCGAGGTAGCTGTTGAAAGTAAAAGCCCTGCTCTCCTTTATTCAGTCAGCTCATTTTTATAGAGCTGTAGAACATCACAGCCAAATTTAACAAGCCCTAGAAGTCTACAAGATGAGTCGACCAATAATTTTAAGATTTATTCTGTGGTCTGGAAGGAGACAGGGACAATCAGTCTGACTGCATGCAGAAACATTCTTCAGAAAATCAGCTTGAAATCCAGCATTTATAAGTTAGTAGTAGGCGCCAATCCAAATCACATTTCTTATGATGTTTCTACAAATCAAACACTGAAAATACACACTCAGAGTAACACAAATTTGAAAATATGGCATGTACAGAAAGGCACAATCCACAAAAACAGAATTCTTAGAAGACATTCTCCAAAACAGCCACAGAGTTGTCAAATAATTTAGTACATGAGATACAGTTTAAACAGAACATAGATACACAACAGATCACCCACGTGTATGCCAGCTTCTCAGCAACATCATCCTGTATGTCAGAAATTTAAAACTGCAGGTATCAGAATTCTCGGAAACTGTCACAAAAAGCTTCTCCAACTTGGGTATCTGTAACAGGAGTCAGTGTTACTTCTTACACAGAGTTGAAAGGGGAGATTGGACATACAGCATGCTCCACCTACAACTGTTAGCACCATAACTTCCTGTTGAACATAACTTCTTTTCTGGATGAGATGGCAACCACTGTAAGACACAAGCATGTAACAGTACAAAGTAAACTGGATTTATGGCTTAGTCATGTGAATGTAGGCGGCTGAGAAAAATCACACAACTTAAGCCTGGTACAAAACACCACAGAATCTTCTGCCTCATGGGTACATCTTCTGAGCTGCTTATTCTGCCAGTTCTCTTTTCCCTCTTCCATATATACAGCACATACAGTAGTACAACAAATGTCTATTTCGGTTATCAGAAAGCAAAACTGAAATTCAGTGCCATGGAGCAGTGAATCTCACAGACAGCCTTGTTCCAAGAACTGACAATAAAGGAGCAGAGGAGGAGTGGCTTGTTTAATCTTGTTCAACAGCAGGTTCTGAAAACTAGACATTTTGGCAGTCCGTGACCACGAAATTTCACCAGCATGTCACTTTTTATGTTCCTGTGCTAACACACTAAACTCATGATGGATCCATAATTAATTATTTTCCCCCTTTTCTTCTGGCTACTGAATGGAAGTTTGGTATCATTCAACCACTCCATTTGCAACACATGTGCAACTTCATGCAACCCAGGCCCTGCATCCAGTCACTTTCCAGACTGAAATTTAAGGTGCACAGTACAGCAACAACAGTCAGTCCCTATCACGTGTACAGAGGGACACAAAAAGCTATGGTGGCAGACAACTTCTGGCATCACAAAATTACTGCATGTTAATACATTTTGACTTCAGTCCTACTTTTCACTATGCAGTGAGTACAGGGAATCCATCTACTCACACGCCACTCTTTTAAGAGGTGTCAAGGCAATAAATACCACTTAGATGCGTGATTACTGAATGAGTACTGCTATGGTTTAAGAATCTACTGAGAGTCAAGACATCAGTGTAGAAAATCGGTATGTGACATCCATGAATGCTGCACAATACATGACATTTCCCCACAACTCTTTGGTCATTAGAGGGCTGTGATCACTTCTGACCCAAGCAGCCAGGCACAGACAGACTCCTGTCCTTTTTCACTGCAAGGGTTATTTACAGGAACCTCTACAGTTTTCAAAACAGCATTTCTTCATCATTTCTTAAGGAAGAGGACACGGACTCTACTTGCTGTGTCATGCACTAAGGTGAAGAACATGTACGCTTCATAACACCCACACCAAATCTACAATGTCACCAAACGATCAGAAACAGAATATATCCTATTGCTAATATTTTAAGTAAATATTTGTATTTAGCATCACTGAAAAAAACCCCAAAACAACCAACCCACAAAAACCCACCACATCGTTAGCTGCTGTAAGGATAGCCATTATTATTCTTACTTCCTTTCTCCCTTTTCTCCTGTTTTCTTCCTTCTCCTTCCAATACGGATGCTGTATTTCTCCTCCAAATCTTCTTTTCCCTACTTGTTCTTCTCTTGGTTGTCCCTACCATTCCCTTTCTTGCTCCTGCTTCAAATTTCTGTATTTCTTTCCCTCATCTCTCTGCCTCCTCTTGGTTCCATTCTCCCTGCTTTTGGTTGTCTATAAGGCAGCAGAAGTGCTCATCACATGAAAAAGCTAGTAAGGGAAATGGGAAAAAGTGAAATTAATTTGTGAAGGAAATTACATTTATTAACATCACATACATATATATGATAACTAGGAATCGCATCTTATTTCTGCAACCACAGAAAACATGTTTGTTTCACACCATTTCCACCATTTACCAGCTACTACAGGAAGTAACTTCCAAGACTAAATCTGTCATTTTCATAATCCTTCTCTTACCCTGTGAAACATGAGCAAGGTAGAGTTTCAAAATTACACTTGTGCTTTATTTTATTGTAAGATGGTCAGTTATTAAATATTCAGGGTTAGAAATGAATGCTATTTTTTTAGCCTATCACATATAATACAGACCCTTCTCTTGATGCAACGCAGGAAGTTCTCTACTTCAGTGTGTGGAATACATATAAACATAATTTTAAGACACAGAGTGTTTTTAAAGTTAGAAGCAATATGGAACTAGTTTATGAAACAAACCAGTTCAATAGGTCCTTTCTTAGTAAATTGAAAGGAAGACCTGCCCTCTCTCCCCGCCCTGCTATGATGCATTTATTTTCACACCTATAACATCACGAAATTGGATTTAGTACTTTTAATGCTCATTGAGAACAAGCTTTTAGAGATGTCTGAATTTTGCAGAAAGTTATTTTCTATTTTTCTTCTTGTGACTGTGCCTACATAAAATTACAGTAATGCAAATAACACAAGTACCCATAGTTTAACATAAAATTTGCATTTCCCCAATTCAAAGCTATTAAAAAGTTTCCATGTACTTTTATTAAAGAGTACGCTATAGATTATGAAGTGGAAAGAGAAAAGAATGGAATGTATAGGCTTGCAATACAGGTGAATTATTCTTCTAAACTGTGCAAAAATTTCTTTTCATCACAACTGTGTATTTAACTTTCTAGAGTTAACATGCAAATAAAACTGAATACAAAATTAAAAAGATAACACGTAAAGATTTAATTGCAATTATATAAACCTTACTTTATCTCTTATACAAAATGGTACATTAATATAAATAAATACATATTTTAATCTTAACATTTTATACGCATAGTTGAAGACTATAAGGTAAAACTTGTTCAGTGGGTTTCTCCTCTCAGTACACTCTTAACAATCCTCATCAATCAGCAGTTTAGGAACCTTTTAAGCCGGTCAGATACTGGGTCTACATCACATAACAAGAAAGGACTCCTGAGCACTTTTTAAACTTCGATATCTACTCTTTGCCAAATAAAAGTGATTTTTACTTTCAATTACAGAAGCTACTTGAAAACTCATTTGGCTTTTTCTGAATGAAACTTAAGAAGCCTGGTTTAAAAGAAAAGTTAGTAACAATTGTGTCAAGCCAACACCTAAGTAGTACAACATAATACCAAGGAACAAAAAAAGTCACTGCTACCAGAGTAAGTTTACTGGCCAAGCCCTCCTAATTATTATCAATATACTAATCTATACTGATAGTATACAATGTATAGTATCAATAGGCTACCTGGCTGTTAGACTTGGTCTACAACGAAAAGCATTGTTGGTAAAGTTATAGATGTAAATGCTTTTTGCTCAAATCAAATGCAGCTACATTGGCAAAAAATCTTTTCACAGTATGTCTGCTCAAAGAACCAGCATACCCTGTATTACTGAAAACTCCTTTCCTTTCTGCTTGCATGAAACACATGCCAGAAGGATGTATGGTATAACTACACCAGAAACCAAGCAAAGCACGCTGAGGCCTTGAATTTTTTTCCTGGACAGGAGACTGTATTAGGACTATTAAAAGTTTGCAAGTGGTCTACTTCAGGACGGAAGAGAACGCCATAAATCTAGTGACAATACATTTCAATACAACTCATCCAGGTTATACTGTTACATAACAAGCAGGTTAACTGAACACTTCATGTTAGGCATCTGCTCCACTGGACAAAAATTTCTGTATTTAGGACAATTTTCACTCATGTCTTTTTCAGAAGAACAAGGGCAACTTAAAAAAAAATCAACTAATAAAGACATATCCTTTTTCATAAACAAAAGCAGTGAGGGCGGGGTGTTAAATTTAATCCAATCTTAAGAGCCAATGTCTGCTACATGACATTTAGGTTCAAATATGACAAAGTGCACTTTTACAACTACGCCTGGCACAACAAGTGTGAATTATGTTTCAGATTCCACAAAACACCTGCCAAAATCCCACATTTTAACTGTGTGGTAGATTACTGTAAAGCACTGCCACATGTACACTCATTTTGGCATCAGCGGAAAACATAGCCCAAAACATGGCAGACTGTCTTATTTATTAATATGTAACCATTCTGTGCTGTGGACAGTACTGACAACACAGGGTTCTGGGTGAATCACAACCTCTAAAGCAGCAGGCAGATGGAATCCAAATTATTTAAAAGACCATCTCTCTCCTCCTCCTGTTTTGCAACAGTTTGTGGAGGCACACAAGGCAGAACTTCTTAATGAAGAACTGGCATTGCTGGGTAGGCATTCTTTCCTGACACATTTTCCATTATCAGGTGCTGGGGAAAGTACCCAGTGAATTTCAGTGATTTGCACTGGCTTGTATTTGTTTTAAGCATCATCAGAAGAACCTAGATCAGTGTACTGCTAATAGGTATGCTAAAAAAAACAACCAATGAAACAATAAAAACACAAAACCATGGAAAACCCGACAGCTATACAGTTTGGAGCTCCTTCCACCCTGTTTACCTGTTGTACTTGGTTGTAAGATCTGTTGCAGTGCTATGCGATAGCTGCCATTCTCATCCATCTCATCTCTCAGAGCCTTCTGTACTAAAATACAAAATTTAGTGCCTTAACACACAAAAAAGCTTCTAAATCCCTGGGTTTGGAAGCAATAGGCACTTTAGATACACATGCAATAATAATGCATAAAGTAAAAGTATGTGTGAAACTGTCTGGATCATAGTATGTGTTTCTCGTTAGCCACTTCAGACATGTCCTTTCCACCAGCAGTTAAGTGGGAGAAAGAAAAAGTTTCTTTCTCAGTGTATGCTGGAGCAGAAGTGAGTATTGTTGGCTTGGGTCAGTGGTCTTATTCCATTCATAAACTCTTCTGTTCAGTTCCGTATGGATATCTAATATAGAGAGTTTCCTGCAGCAACAAAAGTAAAAGCTTTCTATTAAAGAAAGAAGTAAGACACCATTTAAGAATCCACAAGAGAGAAGACAACTTTAGACTCAGCATGGAGAAAGTTTCAAATTTCAGTCTTTATTGCAGAGGTTACACCTCTAAAACCCAAGGCTGAATATGCAATTTGGAGCCAATCAAATAATCCAAATCAGTGTTGTGATACTGGTTATGCTGACATGATGATCTGTTCTTTCATCACAAGGTTTTAGGGTTTGTAAAAAGTTACTAAATGTTAACTGTGCAACTACCTTGAAAAACAGTTGCTAGCTGCCTGGTAGATCAGTTGTACAAAGACGACCTTTGTTGGTAAGTTATATATCCAAACATACCTGATTTATGCTCAGATTCCTTTTGATAATCTCTTTAGATAAAGTCTTCTAATAGTTTAAATTCAAGATTACAAATTGGCAATCTAGTGGCTCCCTGAGCATAGGGTTAATTAGATCTAAAGAAAGGACAAAATCCTTCCCTCTCAACTGCCTTTTCCCCAATTTTAGGTACTGATGTTTTGTATTTGCAAGCAGAGCCCTTCTTAATGATATTAAGCAATCCTCAATTTGACAGAAGCCTGGTGAGTGCCTCATTATCTTGGAGGAGGAAGATTTCCAATCCTGTCTAAAGCACTGACATACATTACCCAGGACAGGTTTGTCCCTTCCCACTCTGCAACCCCAGTGCCATAAAACACTTTAATTTTACTCTCCAGAATCAGAAACTTCGACTGCTACTTTAGACTTCCTGTGCCTTTGTTCCAGGATCAGGTATATTTGTCTTTTAACCTATGACGTAGCATGAAGACACTTTTCAGGATCAGATGGGATGAAATTTATGGCACCTCTTTCTCTAGAACAGCATGTTGTCATAGTAAAAGGGTTCTTTTTCCTCTTTTTGTAATTTACCTTTTATGAGGATTGCAGAGTAGCTCAGCCAGACAACGCAGATAATATGAGGATGAACCTGGAGATTTTTCTAGTGTAGATACATCCACCTTGCACTGACTCCAAAAGATGTCTGCTACTTGGGGGATAGTGACTTTCCAAGGGATTTTTGTGTTAGTGATGGTCTTCTCGTCATTCCCATCCACTTCCAACAGACTAGTGCATTCTTGCTCATTTTCTGGCACAATGTAGCTCTGAATAAAAAAAAGCTTCGGTTTTCCTAGGAGTTCAGGACATGAGTCTGCTGTAAAGTATTTCTTTATTTGTTCCAGA